TGGGCTACAAAGTGAGTTCCAGTCCAGCCTTGTCTCAGGCCTTGTCTCAAAACAAAGCAAAATAAAGCCAAGATTTCTATGCACTTTAAATACTGGTTCCTTTGTTACTGATAGTGAACGTCTTCAGTCTACATAGCACGTGAATGGTCTCAATGCCCCAGCACAGGCTTTGTCTGCCACCTAGTGTCTGTCCAGGCAACTGTAAGCCACACACACTGGCTGTGCAGTAATAGTGCTCCTGGTAAGAACACAGAAGGGAACACTCCCTCTAGAGCAGCCATTCTGCTTCTCAACTTGTGGATCGGGAAGCCCTTCGGCAAAACTCTGTCTTCAAAATATTTACAATTCATAAATGTAGCAAAATCACCGTTATGAAGTAGCAACAGAAATAGTGTTAGGGTCTGGGGTCAGCACAGCATAAGGAACTTCGTTAAAGGGTTGCAACATTAGGAAGGCTGAAAACCACTGCTCTATGGGTGATGTGGGAATGCCTGTCAGAGTTCATTCCCTCTCCCTTCAACAATGAACCTGCAAGAGGCTGCCTGGGCATCGCACCCTCAACCACCCCAGGCACCTACGTCCGTACAGGGCGTTTGTCACTACAAATGATTGGAAACTCCCTGAGATTTCCCCATCGACGGGTGTGGTGGGATATTCCCAGGTAACCTGCACACACAGGGGCGGTCCCAAAGCTGGTTGGAAAAATGAGATTGTTCTCGGGAAAACTATGAAGGGGAAGAAACTGGCATCCAACAGTTACCTCAGCACACTTGCCTTCCTTATGAGGGTGAAGGCATGAGAAAGACAAGCCAGTCAGAACAAGAGGAAAAGACACAGGATGGAAAATGCAACACAAACTGCAGAGACCAGCTGCCATCGGGGCTGTGTCTGGGAAGCCATGGAGAAAGAGAAAGGACAGATGTTGTCAGAGGAGGAACGAGAGGCACTTCCGCAGGGACACCCTCTCCAAAGCTTTGACTCTTGGAGCCTTGGTAACAGCTCACATGACTTTAAGTACGTAGACAGTCAGCATAGCTGGGTGGAAGTGGGTCCAAGACAGTTTGGCGATGCTGCCAGAGGGAGCCACTGCACAGCGAACACCCCCAGGCCAGGTGTGGTGGTGCACAGCCTCCCATCACTGTGAGTTTGAGGCCAGCCTGGTCTCAAAAATGACAATAAACAAAAAGTTATACTGGACCAAAGGCCGTTCCAGTCATGGGACCCAGCCAGTGTCCTGGAACATTTCTGCTAAGGAATGAGACTCTTGTCCAGACAGAACTTGCCTGGGCACAGCCCTCTGTTGCACCTGTCTGTGAGAGCCAGCACCTGGAAGTGACCACAGTGCCACTCCGTATATGGGAGGCCACACGAAGCAGGGAGCTGGGTGCTTAGCCTGTTCCCTCCGTGTCCCGGTAAAAAGACTCGTCTCTCTTCTGCAGCTCTCATGAGGTGCCAAAGCCAGCATAACTGGTAGTTCACAGTGCAGGCTGGGAAGATCCAGAGCCTGGCATAGGCATCCGGGAGAGGCCTTTGTGCTAACTATCCATGCTGGAAGGCACAAGAGCAGAGAGCACAGGACACAGAGAAGATCCCCCACCCCCACACCATGCACAGCCTAAACCTCATTATTAGATCCCTTAACCAAGGCCTTGGTAACTTGTCTGGCCTGCCTCTTCACGTGATGGCCACAGCCATTAACTTTCAGCCAGAGTATTAGAAGACACTGTCAAGCAGTGCACACCTTTAATCCCAGCACTTGGGAGGCAGAGGTAGGCAGCTCTTTGTGAGTTCGAGGCCAGCCTGGTCTACAAAGAGACACGTCTTGAAAAACCAAAAAAAAACAACAACAACAAAAAAAACAAAACAAAAAAAACAAACCAAACCAAAACAAAACAAAAAAGACGCTGTCAAAATGCAGTAGAAATCAACCTAAGAAATCAACCCTGGGCAAAAAAGAAGTCAACTGTAAAGGTCCCATGCTACAGGATTCCATTGTGTAACCTCCTGACAACACTTTTGAGTCTGGAGACGACAGGTGACAGGTGGTGTCTAGAACTAGGGATGAGGTGACTCAGTGCCCATGGTTAGGTAGGAGGCCACACCCGGTGCCAATTCTGACCAATCTGCATCTTGACTATGGAGGCAGTGCCCCAGACCACTGTATGAAGGGGCACAGGACTCTACTGACAATGGACTAATGTTAATTTCCTGGTTTGGTGTTGTGATTTAGCTACCAATATGACACCCCAGGGAGAAATGAAGGGTGCAGGGGGCCTTACTGCCTTGGTAACTTTCTATTAATTTAAATTTTCTTTTCTTTCTTTTTAAAATCTTTTTAAATTTTTTAATTTTTTTAAAACAGGGGCTCATGCTATTCTAGTCTGGCCTTGACCTTACAACTCAGATGAGCTTTTGATGCTCCTCCCTGCATAGGTGTGCACCACCGTGCCGGGTTTTATGCAGCAATGGGGATCAAACCCAGCATTTGCACACCATAGGCGAGCACTGGAGCTGCAGCCCCAGCTCCAGGATCTGTGTGTAACATTTCAGAATAATGAGCACTCAAGGACTTGTCTACGCAGTTTGTGACCTTGGCTTCAAGGATCAGTTTCTCATACTAGGTACTTTGTTATTTATTTCGTTGGCCCCATCAAGGACCAGGAGAAAGACGGGGTTGAGTGTGTCTTGTGATGTATCAGAAGCAGCCTGTTGCGTGCACCTACACAATGGACCTGTCTTCTATCGCTACGCTACCAGAAATCTCATGGCTTCAAATGTCACCCTCGCTCTGTGTCAGGGGTTACTCACAGGCCAGAGGTTCTCTGTAAAAGTTCCCCAAGCCTGCGGCAGGTACCAGCACCACCATGTCACTTAAGGCTCTGTTCCTTCTTCCAGGTCCTGACTGTGGTGGATCTATCCCGTGACTACGGGTGAGAGACCCGGTTCCTTTCTGTTAATTAGGGACCTCTCTTGGATCCTAGAGGCTGGCCCCTCCTGCCACTTGACATGTCTGTCAATATTTCAATTTCTTTCCCAAGGGCCACTGGGGCATCTTTCATAAAACACTCAAGGGGAAAGTATCTGTATTCAGGTATCTGTACTGGCCTGTCCTTGGGGTTCTGACAGGACACACCCTCAGCTGCAGTCACTAAGAGCACCACCTGTGCACAATCACTATGTTCCCTTTCAAAAGGGCCCTGCCCACCTTTCATCTTCCTCTCTCTTTCTTTCTCTTCCTCTGTCTGTCTGTCCCTCTCTCTCCCTCTCCTTCCTTCCCCCCTCTTTCCTCTCTCCTGCTGTTCCTGTTCCTGGAGGCTGGTCCCCCCTCCCCTCTCCCCTTTTTATGATCCCTTTCCCCAATTAAAAAAACAAATCCTCTGCTTGAACCCTGTCACTTGCTGTCTTCTTCCTCTAGAGCGCTGCTTTTCTTAAATTACAACGGAAGGCTGTTGAGGGGGTATGTCGCATCATCACTGGAGCACGGATTAGAACAAGTTTTCTCCTTTGTCGGATCAGTCAACTCTGAGAAGTGTTCCATTGTGTTGCAGTCATTCTGCTTGCCCTGGTGGCATCAACACTGCCACCGATGGCATTTAAGTTAACCAGTGTGGCTGGGCTCTGGAGAAGACTTAGACACTGATATGTCATTTTCATGTCACAAGGGATTATTTGTTTTGGTTTTTTTCAACCACTTAAACATGTAAAAACAGTGAATGGCTTGCAAAGCCACACCAATCCAGACAGTTGGCCAGGTTTGGCCAAGGAGCTGTGTACCTTGGCAGCTACAGGTGTGGCGACTGGCTGGAGTACATCTAAAATCTGCCCATAAGAAAACAAGGAAGCCGCCATTAGTCCCCTCAGTGTTATCATTATTCCTCTGCCTGCCTGGATTCTTCAGTGAAAAGAACTCGAGTCACTAGCTCCTCCCATTTCCCATCCTGTCCACTAAAGCATGTGAAAGATGGCTCAGTGAAGAACATTTACAAGGAGGCTCACAACCTGCAAGTCCCTTCCAGGAGGTCTGGTGCCCTCTCCGGCCCTCTGAGGGCACCTGCATGCCTGTGGTGTGCAGGCAAGCAGGTACACACATATACATAGAAATACATTTTTAAAGGACTAATTTGAGAGCCCTTGTTTAGTTCATTTGCATTTTTTCCTTTTTGGTTTGAGACAGGGTTTCTCTGTGTAGCTTTGAAGCCTGTCCTGGCACTCACTCCGTAGACCAGGCTGGCCTCTAACTCACAGAGATCTGCCTGCCACTGCCTCCCAAGTGCTGTAATTAAAGGTGCTTGCTACCACTGCCTGGCTTCATCTGTATCTTAAACCCAAAATCACAGAAGGCATCTCCTCCCATCCCTAAGTCTGTGCAGCTCAGATCTTGAAGTTGAGATCCTTGTGCAAGTGCTGGCCCCTACCCCCATGTTGGCACTGCTGACATAGGCTGTTACACCCAGCTCTTTCTCTACTCTACGAATCCAACTACAGCATGTGCAATTGCTAGTTCACTAGAAGGAGAAAAAAAGTTTGCAACACCTTGTGTCTCTAGGATGGAATGAATAGACAATTTCCCTGGTTGTGAGAGAAGCAAATGATTCCAGAACTCTCTCCTGACTGAATCACCATCATTTTAAATCCATAAAGTTCGATCTTGTAGTGGAACTAGTCATTTTGAGTCGGATGTTTGCAGATAGTATATAGAAACCAAATGTGTCCAGGAAAATGATGTCCGCACCTGCCTCCAGACTCCAGAGCCTGGCAGACCCCAGGCTCAGTGATCTGTGTTCGGGAGCGTCCTTGTGCACAGCTGTGGGGACTGGAGAGGAAAAACAGTAATGGTTTCGGGGGCTACTGGGACTTGTCATCTTAACTCCAACTAAAAACAAGAAGGGTGGGGGGGAAATCTAACGTGGGGGACTCTTTCTTCAGAATAGTCTTTATTAGTCTGGATACTGTCTGTCAACACTTGACTTATCTCCTCTCATACTTTGATATGAGCCCATTCACTCAGGCTCCTCTTCTCCCCATATCTCATATATTGTGACGTTATTGTGCGGACCCATAGGTATGTCTGGGATCTGCAGCCTGGGGTTACTGCTGGTTGCCATAGAGACTTTAAGATTCCGCACCTTGGACACAAATTTCACCAGTTCCATCTCGAGCTGGGTTAAAGTATTGAAAGTGAAGTCTTTGCTGGGGGAAATATTTTGATTTTTCTTTGGTGGAGAGCGAAATTGACAGCCCCGAAGGCTGGTAGAATTCTGCTCCTGTCAAGAAAGATATTAGGGTGAATGACTCCATTGGCCTCACAGTTCCGACACAGTTCCAGAAGTTAGGATCATCTAAGAGGGAACATAATGATAAACCTAGTCTGAATGTTGACAAACCGTGACCAGATTGGCCCGCCACTTGTTTTTGTAAATAAAGTTTTATTGGTGCACAGCTGAGCTCAGTTATTTGCATATCAGCTATGGTTGTTCTCAGGCTCAAGTGGCAGGGATGAAGTAGCTGCCACTGAGACTGTATGGCCTACAGATCGGAAAATGATTTCCCGCTGATGCTTTATGGGCAGCCTCTGCTCCAGCCAGAATGTCATGTGCTGTGTATAGTAGACGCGTATGGGTATCCGTGTGCTTGGGTGCATGTGTGTGGAGGGTGGTACTGGGTGTCTTCCTCCACTTTATTTTCTGGGACAAGGTCTCTCACTGAATCTGGAACTCCAGAATTCTGCTAGACTAGCTGCCTAATAGGGTCCTTCTGTGCCTGCCTCCCCATCTCGTGGGTTACAGGTGTGTGCCACCATTCCTGACTCTCCTGTTGAACTCAGGTCCTCAAGGTTGCACGGCAGCAACTTTTCAGAGTGAGCCATCTCCCAGCCCTGGCTAGTGTCTTGAAATGCTAGGTTTGTCTAAGACTGAATGTTTTTCCCTTTGAACCCTGAAGAGCTGCCGAGACATTGTGGGGAGCATCGGTTACTACTCTTTATCCCAGTGCAGGCCTCAAACTTCCTTTACTTGAAATAAAATTTCCTTTGGTTCAGAAATTCGTGATGAGTCAAAAGCAATGAAAATAAAACATGCAGGGTGTGTGAGTGATCCTGGCTCTCTCTCTCTCTCTCTCTCTCTCTCTCTGTGTGTGTGTGTGTGTGTGTGTGTGCATGCCTGGCTCTGTGAGCATTTGTGTGTGTGTTTGTGTTTGTGTGTGTGTGTGAGAGCCTGGCTCTGTGAGCAGGTGTGTGTGTGTGTGTGTGTGTGAGCCTGGCTCTGTGTGTGTGTGTGTGTGTGTGTGTGTGCGGGTCTCTGTGTGTGTGTGTGTGTGTGGGGGGGAGAGAGAGAGGGAGAGAGAGAGGGGGGGAGGGAGGGGGGGAGGGAGAGAGAGAGAGAGAGAGAGAGAGAGAGCGAGCGCACCTGGCTCTGTGAGCAGGTCTGACATGAAACACACCATGAGCTCTCGAATCTACTCTCGATTTGGAAAAACAAACAAAATTTACATCACAGAAAAACTGTGAGCTGTTTAGTAGCCCATGTCCTGTCCTGGATGGATGTGGCCACTACTACCATCACCAAGGAAGCAAATCCACCTGCCCTTCCCCAGCAGCCTGACAGGGTCTCTGGTCAGACACTCGTAGTCCTGTGTCCAGGAACAGAACCTAAGTCTCTGAGACCCCGTGGCTGTGGTGTGACCTCAGCAACCTTACCTTATTCTTCTCACCATCTCCTCGTAACTTCAGCATCGCGTATATCATAATGACGAAAAACAGCCAGAGCCATTTGCTCCCAAGCCAGCCTTGGGTGTGCTCTGGAAGATTCTGTCTAATCCGGAAATGTCCTCCGCAAGGCACCTTCCCTGGGCTTTCTTTGTTTTTCTCCCTCAACGAAGAAAACATGAAGGCACAGGCGCAGGAAATGCACAGAGGCAGAAACAGGAACCATCTTAGCGTCCGCATGGTGAGCAGAGGTGGGGCGGGAAACTGCTCATGGTGGGTCTGTCTGCCGTGGTGCCAGAGACACTGGGGACCTAGCGTCGGGGGGGGGGCCCTGGTGATGTCACAGAGGGCCCTGAGCTGACAGCCCCAGTCATTGTGATGCCTTCAGCTTGAGAAGACTGAGTGAGGTTCCTGGCAAGTACTCCACCTGGCAGAACTTCCAGAGCAGAGAACCTTTTAGAAGACAAGAGAGGAGGAAGCTCTCTCCTTGCTGGAATGTTCTTTCTGACTTGGCACACTGTTGGGAGAGGCCATCATCTATTTCTGGTTTCATTTATTTGATCCAGACATTGTGGTGAGCAGCAGATACAATGGGTCCACTAAGAAATAAGGTTGCTAGCCACAGGCTGCCGGTTAGGGGTCATGGACCTTTCCTTTGGCCTGCACCAAAAATAGTGACTCATCAGCATTATGGGGACTGTCACCCAAGGGGCTGGGGCGATGGCTCAGCAGGTAGTGTTTGCTAGGCAAGCATAACGACCCGATTTTAGTACCCAGAAAATGAATAAAAAACTGGGTGGTGGTGTTCTTTGCTGATACTTAAGGCGATGAAACAGGATCCACCAAACTCAACAAATCCACGTGGAGTTATTGGGAAGGGAGTGAGGGAGGGGTGGTGTTAACTGCGGGAGAGAGAACAGGCAGGGGTGGGGGTGGGGAGGAGTGGGGTGCTGGCTTATATAGGGAAAGGGAGTGGTGTAGAACGTGGCTCAGTAGTTGGGGCCATTGAAACTGGAGTCAGGGAGCTGCCATTGGCCCAGCTCCGAGTGTTCCACAAGGTTTCTGCAGGCAGAGTCCTTATGCAGTCACCTAATGCATGCAGGGCACACCCATGCAACCTTTGACAGTCCGAGCTGTCAGTGAGGAGTTAAAGATAGATGCCTGGGCAAGGGAAGGTCGCCCTGAGGAGTGATCCATCCGAGGGCGGGAAAAGGCCCCGAGACCAGGAAAGCTTCCCTAAGGAGAAGGCCCAGGCCTAGAAGGCTGGCAGAGTGACAGGCAGGTGCTGAGGAGAAACCACCGTGGTGGGTGAAGAGTCGGGAGCAGGAACAGGTTGTCCAGGACCCGGGGAAAGGGAGAAGCAAGGATATCAACAGGTGTGGTGGTGTACACTTGCAAGGCTGGGGAGGCAGGGACAGGCTCAGCTTGGGCTTGCTGGCCACCCAGCCTAAGTACTTGTAGAGTTCTGGGCCAGTGAGGGATGATACAAGTGGACCACATCTGAGGAACAATACCCAAGGCTGACCTCTGGTCTCTACATGCTCACATACACACCTGTGTGAACTCGAGTGTGTGTGTGTGTGTGTGTGTGTGTGTGTGTGTGTGTGCGCACACACAGACTGTATTTGATGTCAACTGTTTGTAGAGGTGACAAGAATATACTAGCCCAGGCAGTATAAGGTCCACACTTGTCCCTCTCAGGTCCTAAGGAGGAATTGTGTTCAGACCGACCTAAGGGGTGACTTTCTGCTAACTCTCACACTGCCTCCAACTGTGCTGCACTCTGACAGTGACAGGTTCCTTAGACTCATCTCTCAGGGGGCCAGCGGCTAAGTGAGCCATAGGGACATGCCCTAGGGCACAGCTTTGGCTTCTGTGGGACTCCTACCAGACATTGGTTCAGGTTTGGAGAGATGCAGGCCTTACAGCTGTGTTAGAAACTAGGCTTCATGTTACATGACACTTTTTATCCTTATAGCTACAAAAGCCTCCAGAAGCAGGTGGCCTGGTGTTTCCGGCTGTGAGCCATGGGTTCAGTGCAGCCTGTTTGAAGGCTCATCCTTGAGCAAGATCTTGAAAATTGCCATGGTGAAGGTCTTGTAGGGGTGGGGTGCCCTCTTCTGCAGGGACTGCTTTCGAAGTCAGCTCTGGCATTTGGTAGCTGTTTGGTGACACCACATGGGAAGATAGGCTTGATCTGCACAGATGACTCCACCATGCATGCCTGGAACACTTGACTTCAGCTATCTGGGAGCATTTGTGTGTACCTGAGGGTAGGAATCCCAGGATCCCTTTCCTCTCGGTGTGTTCACTGAACAGGGCCAGGGAAGGCCAGTTACACAACAAAGGTCCTGGACCTGGACAGTGGGTGGAGCTCAGCTCCATGGTCCTAGAAAGGGCCCAATTCTGCAGTCTGGTGCAGCAGGGTTTCTCAAGAAACCCAGGGAAGCTTGACAAGCTGGTCCTGTGCTAACCCTAAAGGCTGGAGAAAGATCTCAGAACACACACTGTTCCCTGTTATCAGGGGTCCCCTTCAGGGTCAGGGCCAGGAAGGAGCCACAGAGCCCAGGCAGAAATCTGTGGACATTTCTGAGGCTGGAGGCCTGAAGATACTGAAGTTTCAAGGCTTGAGAAATGTGAAAGCAGTTTCTTAAAAGCCATAAAAAATTTAAAGGCTGTAATTAGTAAAATATGGCTTAAGAGGACCATTTTCTGTGTAAAGGTACAAGAGAAAATGTTAATTGACAACAAAGCAGCTTTGAGTTTTACACTGTCTGCTTCCTCTTGCCCTCATTAAACTTTTTAAGATAGAAACAGAAATCCTAGCCAAATAAACTTATGAGAATTTAAAAAAAGATTTATTTATTATGTATACAGTGTTCTGCCTGCATGTATGCCTTCTTGTCAGAGAGGGCTCCAGATCTCATTACAGATGGTTGGGAGCCACCATGTGGTTGCTGGGAATTGAACTCGGGACCTTTGGAAGAGCAGCCATATCTCTTAACCTCTGAGTCATCTCTCCAGCCCCGTTTTGAAAGTTTAACAGGAAAAAAAAAAAAAAAACTCTCTAAAACAGTTTTTCACTGTACTAAAATGAATAAATAGCTAATTCATCTTTGTTTCGGAAAAGTACACAGTAAAAATTCATTATTTTTTAAGACATGGTCTCATGTATACCAGGTTTACCTAAAACTTGGTAGGTAGCCAAGGATAGTTTGAACTTTTTTTCCCCCATTTTTCAAGACAGGGCTTTTCTGTGTAGCCATGGCTGTCCTGGAACTCACTCTATAGACCAGGCTGACCTCAAACACATAGAGGAGGTCTGCCTGCCTCTGTCTCCACAGTGCTGGGATTAAAGGCGTGTGCCACCAATGCCCACCTCCCCAATGCTGGGAGAACAAGTGCCTGTCACACTTAGACTACATGGTGCTGGGTCTGGAGCCCAGGGCTTTGTGATGCCACACAAGCCCTCTACCCCACGAGCAGGCCGCATCCTCAGAACGGGTTAATTCTCATTGAAAAACTCAGATAAACACTGGAATTCCAGCACTTGGGAGGCTGAGACAGGAAGATCTGGAGTGTGAGGCCAGCCATGCCTAACCCTGTCTCAAAAACAAAAAACAAACAACTCCCAAATATTTCTACAATCTTTATTTTAGTTTCTAAATACAAAGGTCACACATCTCAGGTTCTCTTGGACAATACTCATCTCACAGCTTGTCCCACTCACCCATGTCTACATGCTCCTAACACTGTCCCAGAACAAGCCTTATGTCTCCTTGCGGCCAAGCCTAATCACTTGCAAGCAAAGAACCTGAGGGCAGTTGGGTAGGTGCTTGTCTTTGGGTGTTTTCTAAGGCAAGGTCTTGCTATGTAACCTAGGCCAGCTTTGACATCTGTGATCTTCCTGCCTCAGTCTGAGGGCTTCGACTAGACATGCCACCATGCTTGGTTTGGGAGCAGGGACTCTAGGGTTTCTATGTTCGCACTCTTGTAGGCATGTGTGGAGGCCTGAGGTTGACACGGGGCATCTTCTCAGTTGCACTCTATTCTAGTTACTGAGACAGGTTCTCCCCAGAACCCTGCAGGAACTTGTAAGCATCTTGGTCACGTAGCTTAAGGTTTTGGGGATCCAAACTCTGGTCTGCAAGTGTGCATGACGTGTGCTTTATCCACTGAGTGAGCCACCTGCCCAGCCTAGAAGCAGGATTTTAGAACTGGCCCATGGAGGCAGTTCTACCCTGCTCCCATGAACAGTCTTACACAGGTTCCAATTTTAACTGTGAAGATGGAGAAGGTGTCATTCCTGTCCGCCCCTGTCACCTTGATGGCTGCCATTTTCTTACCAAGATGTAAGAGGAAGAAAGAGGAGATGAGAGAAAGGGGCTTTACTTTGTATCAGTCAGTCAGGGTGTGATTCCTCTCTGATGTCCTTGTATCAGACAAGAACCTCACCAGGAGCAAGGGCTGACAGCTGCAAGTCTGTCCTGAAGCCCAGTGTCACTGCTTTCTTGACCCGTCACAATTTTAGAAAATGAGCCAACGGTACAGTGAGGAACCCAGAGTCCTTCTGCTACCTAAGTGTAAGCAGCAGTCACCAGGCTAAGCAAGAGGTACAGCCCGTGGGAGCAGCGGCCTGTTAAGTTGCAAGCCACCTCACCCTCCTTGGACCCACACATGTCACAGCCAGTGACCACGCAGGTCGAAGATTGCAGAGGAGAGCTTTATAGCATGGTGCCACATCAGGCAAGCTGGCACAGAAGGCCACAGGGGAGGAGCCCCAAGGGGAGGGCTGTGGTCCTGCTTCAGAAGCAGTAGGATGTGTGGGTGACCCAGTGGGCAGACTCCTCCTTGGAGCGCTTGGCGGAGCTGTGGCTTGTGAAGATGGACTTGTAGGTTTCAGACTCTTCACTGTCTGCGATGGACCTCTTCAGGGCCCCACATGGGGGCTTCCCAGCTTTCCCAGAAGCACTCCCGCTAGCTGCTGGAAAACAAAAAAAAAATCTGTAAAGCTGGGACTACAAATCACCCCAACCATCAAACTTTTTGTTTGTTTTGTTTTTTGAGACAGGGTTTCTCTGTATAGTCCTGGCTGTCCTGGAACTCACACTGTAGACCAGGCTGGCCTCTAATTCACAGGGATCTGCCTGCTTCTGCCTACTAAGTGCTGGGATTAAAGGCAGGTACCATCACCACCAGGCCAAATGTTGAATTTTTAAAGGGACTGAGTCATGCGTGCCTCTTCCCCCAGCTCCCTGCATTTGCGGCTATTTGGAAAGAAAGCTGAAGCATGGTGGGGGAGGGCCTCATGCAGCCCAGGCCATCTTCAAACTCAAAAGACCAGTCTTGAATCTGATCCTGTGGCCTCCATCTCCTGAGGGCTGGGATTATGGGAATGTGCTGTTATAGCATTTTATGCAGTGCTGGTGACAGAACCCAGGGCTTTGTGCACACTCTGCAAGTGTTCTACCAACTGAGCTACATTCCCTTCCCACAATATATGAATTAAATTAATTATTTGAGACAGAGCCTCACTATGTAGCCCTGGTTGACCCAGAACTCACTATGTAGACCAGTCTGGTCTTGAAACTGGGATGATTCTCCCAATGCTGCCTCCCAAAGCAGGCACATGCTGCCAGGCCTGGCAGGAAGCACAGACTCTCAATGGTGTCTTCTAGACACTAGACCAAGCCTTGACCACTTACGGCCTTGTTGAACACTGTGCTGGCACCAAGCTGTCCCCAGCTTCTTAGCACTCAAGGTGAGGAACTGGTCCTCTCGGGTTGGTAGTGTACAAGGATAAAGAGCCAGAAACCTCAGTGGCCTGTGCTGATGGGAGGCCAGGATGTGGGACGAAACACAATGTCTCACTTTCTCTTACTGACAAACCTGTGTTTAATTCTTGTAAAGTAATTGTGATCTTAGTTGTTTTCAGGGCTGGGCAATGACCCCAGGACCTCATACATGCTGAACAGGTTCTATACCACAGCTCCAGCTACTTTTCTATGTTTTATTTTGATACAGGATTTTAGTAAGTTGTTTAGGCTGGCCTCAAACTTTTCATCTTCCTGCCTCAGCTCCTGAGTAGCTGGAATGACAGGCCTGTGTCACCAGACATGTGTGGAATGTTCCTATACACTATGTGAATATATGTTGCTGTGATTGGTTCAATAAGGAAGCTGACTGGCCAGTCGCTAAACAGAGTAAGGTTAGGTGGCAGAACCAAACTGAGACTGCTGGGAAGGAGAAGGGCACAGGCTGGAGTCACAAGCATATGCAGAGAGAAGCAAGATGGGCATGCCGCACTGAGAAAACCTATCAAGTCACGGGCAAAGCCTAGAGAAGAAATAGGGGTTAATTTTAATGTAAGAGTTTGCTAGTAACAAGCTTGAGCTATTGGCTGAGCATCTGTAATTAAGTCTCCAGGTAGTTATTTGGGAACTGGTCACAGACATGTTTTGGTTTTCATCCTCCTTTTTTGGTTTTCCCTTTTCTCTTTATGTGTATATGTATGTGTGAATGCATATACATATATGTGTGTGTGTGTGCGCGTGTGCGCGCGTGCTTGCACGGAAGCTTGTGGAGGTCCGAGGAGGGTGTCAGGTCTGGAGATGGAGTTAAAAGCGGTTGTCAGCTGTCAGACATGGGTGCTGGGAGCAGAACTCGGGTCATCTGAGAGAACTGCACTGGCTCTTAAGTGCCGAGCCAGCTCTTCTGCCCCTGCTTCTTACTTTCTCTCTGAGACAGAGTCCAGTACACAGCTCAGGCTGGCCTGGAGCTCATGTGGCACCGTGGCTGACCCTGCCTCTGCCACAGGCCTGTGGCAAATGCTGTTTTCTTTGAGATGAAGACATTGAGACGTTGGTGGCGCACACCTTTGATCCCAGCACTTGGGAGGCAGAGGCAGGTATATCTCTGTGAGTTCGAGGCCAGCCTGATCTACAGAGCAAGTGCCAGGATAGGCTCCAAAGCTACACAGAGAAACCCCAACTCAAAAAAAACAAAACAAACAAACCAAAAACCAAAAAAAGACATTCAAGAGCAGCTTTCCCACATGGTCAAGAGGCAGGCACAGGGAAAGGACGTTTCTATGACGGCAGTCTAGAAATGAGGGGAGCGTAGGAAGGTTCTGGGCACCCAGGCCCTCCACAGTGTGTCTCCACGTGGCTGCCTGCTTCGGCACCATATGCTTGCGCAGCAGTAAGACAGAAGCGGGATTTATGCCCAGAATCTTATGGGCCAACAGGGCTCCAGGCTGGAATGTGAGGCTACGTTTAATTCAAAGGACACAGGGGAAAGCCTATGTTTTCTCATCCCTTTGCTCTGGCTTTCCAACTTCCTCAGTAAGACTCACCTCTGGAAGCCACGGTGCTTCTCTTCTCTTTAGGATCGGGGTCTGCCTCTTCAGGCTTGCCAGCCTTCACTTTTGATGGCCCTGCAGAGTCTGTAAGAGACACAGAGTCAGCAAAACAAACCTTGACCCAAAGCAGAGCAAGGGCCTGGTGTCGTAGATGTAGCCTGCCCCCTTGGAGTCTCTTGGCATCTTACCGTCTGTGACACCCGCCTTTGAAACACACTCGGTGGTCTTCGGTTTCTTTGATTTCTGTAAGAAGAAAGAAGCTGCTGAAGCTGTGGTGGTCTCACTGAGAATGTCCCCCAAGGCTCAGGTATGGAACACCTGGTCACTAATGGGTGCTGCAGTTTGGGAGTTTACAGAAACTTCAGTAAGTGGAGGTACAAGAGTGGGGGTGGACTTTGAGGGTGGATAGCTTCGCCCCACTTCCAGTTCACTCTGCTTTCTGAGTGTGAATGGAGGTGGGAGCTCTCAGCTTCCTGCACTGCCAACATGCCTGCAGCTTGCTGCCAAGCTCCCAGCCATGAGGGACTCTGATGGGGGAGGTCCTTCTGTATGCTGTGAATATATGTTTCTCTCATTGGTTCATGAATAAAGCTGTTTCGGCCAATAGACAGGCAGGATGTGGCCAGGCAAGAAGTATAGGCGGGGCTACCAGACTAGGGGAATTCTGGGATGAGGAACACAGAGAGTGCGTCTCAAGAGAGATGCAGGAAGGTCTGATGCCTGGGCATTCTTCAGTAAGCCAAGACTACATGGAAATATATAGATCAATAGAAATAAATTAGTAATTAAAAGAGCTAGCCAATAAGAAGCCTGAGTCATCGGCCAAACAGTTTATAATTATATAAGCCTCTGTGTGTTTATTTGGGACCAAAGGACTGTGGAACCAGGTGGGACAGAAACTCTACCTACAGGACTCTCTCTTTGGAACCCTGAGCTACAATAAACTCTTCCTTCTGTAGGCTGCCTTTGGTCATGGTGTTTGAGCACAGTGATAGAGAAGTAACTAATACAGAGGGTATGCTCACATCGTGCAGACCACAGCGGCAGTGGGCCTGCCTAGGGCCCAGGGTCCTATCTGATGGCCTGACACATCTCTCAGAGGAGGACCTGTCTGCAGGCAAGCAGCTGTGACCCCAGAAGGCTGAGTCCATACAGACCCTCATCAGTTTTAGCTCCATACTCTCAAAGCTTTACAATGAAGACAATGCATCTCAATGAGGAGTCAATGTTAGAGGCTGGGATGCTGCTTAGTGACAACAGAGCACCACGAGGGCCTGGGTTTGATCTACAAATGTGCACGAGCACATGCGTGTACACACACACCCACATCACACACACAGACACAGACAGACAGACAGACAGACAGACAGACACACACACACACACACACACACACACACGGTCAATACCAGTGACCACTACAAATGTGCATGAGCACATGCGTGTACACACACACCCACAGACACACACACACACAGACAGACAGACACACAGACAGACAGACACACAGACAGACAGACAGACAGACAGACAGACAGACAGACAGACACACACACACACACACACACACACACACGGTCAATACCAGTGACCACTGTACACAAAAGAGCAGTTAAACAGCAACACAAACTCTACATGCACAAACATATACAGAATCTCATTCACTCTGAACTCAGTTTCCAAGCTGTCAAACTGTGATGTTTGTTTATGAGGCTTGGGGGCACACCTGAGGAATGGTGGCTGATTTAAACTCTATAGATTATTCTCCTTAGATTTTTCAGGTGCTGGATCAGTATGATAGTTACTGGTCAGTCCCCAAAAGGTGGACTGTTCTGCAATTACATTCAATTGCACAAATGACCAGAAGGATTGTTCACAACTTTCTTTAAAATGTCATTGCCATAAAACCCCAAAAAGGGGTACCAAAGAGACACAGCCGAGCCAGGAGCTGCTGTCTCAGCTTGGGGAGGTGGAGAAAAGAGAAGAATGCATTTTAGGCCAGCACGTCTGAGGCTAGCTTGGGCTGAAACAAAATAAGGATTTTGGAGGCCTTGTCTCTTACAAGCACTGAACAAAAGACCTCTTTTGGTGGTGGCTTTCAATGTGTGACAAACACACATAATGTAATTTAAGCATTTGGAAAAAAAGTTAAGAAACTGTTTCACACATGAAATGCACACTTGCAAATCTGTGAAGGCTGACAAACAGGACTAAGGAGGTGTCTCAGTGCAGGAGCACCCACTGCAGAAAGCTGGGCATGGCTGTGCATGGCTGTGAGCCAGCACTGGCAGGTAGAGACTGGGATCCTGAGAATTTGCTAGTCAGCCAGTCAAGGGGAAATGGTGGTCTTCTGGCTTAGTGAGACACACTGTCTCAAGGCAACAGAGCAGAAAGTGACAGACACTGTGCTCCTGCTTCTGAGTTTGTGCACACACTGAGTGTCCACACACCCCAACCACACAAAACAGAGGCAGATGCTCAGTTCTTAGCCCTCCATTACCGCTGAGCAGTTTCAAGGCTAGTGGCATGCAGAGGTGCTAAGCGCTGTTGCAGGTTAGGATATTTGGGAAATATTTTGTATCTTGGTAGCAGTATCTAAGCGCATTCAGAGCCTCTGCTGAGGAGGCTGCCGAGGGGATCTAGTCCCACAGGGCTCTGCAGGACTTGGCAGGAAGCCCGTGATGAGACGGTCGGTCACTCAGGGACAACACCAGAGCTCCCCAGCTCTCTAGCTACTGCTTTTAGCACACAACACCCCTCTTTGAGTAACAACAATAACAACAACAACAAAACCCCCAAACCTGACCAACGACGGCAAAGACGGCAAGCATGTCGTTTGGTTGCTGTCTTTTGTTAAAGACACTCCAGGCTTTTCTATGCTCCTATGATGCTAAGTGCAGAGTAATTTAGAAAAAAGTAATTTACTAAATTAAAACATTTAGCAATTTAGAATTAACATACACACATACACATGCATGTCACACATACAAATGTCTGATTTTTCTAACCTGCATACACAGCTTAAATGACCCAGTGACCTTCAGTATTTCTCAGTATGCCATTACCATCTTGTAAACAGTTAGTTGCACAGAGCGGTCCTGTGGCATCTAATTCAGAGTTGCCCACAATTCCTAGTGTTATGGAACAGCACCTGGACCATTTTCTAAGATGATAAAGGAGGAAGTGAGAGTAGATTTGACTTCTCCCAAGTCTGGGTCCCATATGTGACCATCAGCCTTCTAAGCCTCACAACCATGAAGTACGATCATGTGTAGGTCATGTGACCCTGCCTTTCTTCTATGACTAAAATACAGGAGCAAAGCTTTGAAGCCCCTTCCGTCACTGCAGCCCTATCCCCTGCCGACACCGGTGGCTCTGCCCCACAGTGTGTCTTCACCCCACCCTCTGCCGTACGGTTACAACACTTGCAGCACTAGTCCTGTGGTTTTGTTTGTTTCGGTGCTGGGGTCAAACCCAGGACTGCGCATGCGAGGCAGGTATTCTACCCCTGAGCCACACCCTGGCCTTGGGTCTCCAAACTGGCCTCAGCTGGCCTCCTGACTCTACTCAGGAGGACAGGATCACAGGTGTGTTACATCTGGATCCTCACCTTAGTAAAAACAAAGGCCAGGCCCAAGTTTTTCTTGAGCTTAACCTTTCTATTACAAACAAAAAATTATAGCCCCAATGAGTTCCATTGCTTTGTATGCCAACTTAAAAAAATTGAGCATCTCTTCCCCCAAGCCTGCTGGACCACACTGCAGGTGGCTGAGGGTGTGGGACCTTCAGATTTGCTGGGAGGATGGTAACTTCCACTGTTGTCTTTACGGTTATGAAAATGGAGTATGAGTCCAATTTCTTTTCCTGTAGTGGGGACGGAATCTAGGGCTTCAGGCTCTACTACTGAGCCACACCCGCAGTCCACATGCGCTCTTTAAAATTAGTGCTACCTTTTCCTGAGGGCTCACTAATGCCACACTCTGTGCACGTGCTTGATGGGCAGGTGTCATTTAAAAATCTTCCGTCCAGGTGGTGGTGGTGTATGCCTTTAGTTCCAGCACTTAGGAGGCAGAGATGGGGAATGTCTGAGATTTCGAGGCCAGCCTGATTTACAGAGCAAGCTCTAGGACAGACTCCAAAGCTACAGACAAACCCTGTCTTGAAAAAAAAAAAAAAAAAAAAAAAAATCTCCCCTACATCATTCATGCCCTGAGCAGGCAACAAAGCCAATGGAGCCAAGCCCTGAATCTGTTTCTAGAGGCTGCTAGGCTGACAAAACTCAGCCATGCAACACCTCCCCTGTCACTAGCATCTACTAAGGCAGCAGCATAGCTTGCACAGGCCCTGGGGCAGGAGTGAGGCTCCCTCACCCCATTACCTTCTCCAGCTTGGCCCGAAGCCGCCTCTCTTCCATCCTCCTCTTCAGCAAGTCCACGTCCTCCTTGGTGCCATTGAGCACAATGATCTCCTCCTCCTGGAAGGCGGCCCCACACTGCAGGGCGAAGAGAAGGTCAGTTAGCATGGGGGGGAGGCATGGAGGACTCTGCGCTGCACTCAGGGCTGCCCTTCAGCCCCTGCTAGGCTCCTGCAGCATCTCTGCCAGCGTCTCAGATCAGCTTCTCTCAGTCCTGGCCCCATGTGCCGAGAGCAGCATAGCCCCACTGACCCACCCTGGAGGGGTCCAACAATGGTCACTGATAGGGTGGCTCACGGTACCAGACTCTCCACACTGGTCCCTGCTGGGCACCCATACGGCCTGAGCAAAGACCCTGAGCGTGGGACCACTTGCAGTAGCTGCATTGTGTTGCTGGGGGCGGTGCTCCCTGTGTGAGCTCACTGCAGTGTACCAACAGGCTATAGGCTCTAGTCGAGAGTACAGGTATCTGCTAACTTCCATCGTCTTTCCAGAAAATTCCAAGTGTAAGGGTTGACTCTAGACACTTCTTGGCCGAACAAGATGGAGCCGTGTCCATGTTCAGCTTTGCCAGTTGCACACATGCCCATATCCACAGAACTATAACCAAGCAAGCTACCTACTCAGAGAGGCCACCATCACACCATTACATCTCCTGGAGTGAGGTCCTAGACACCAAACACATGGCAGGAAGAGGGGCAGTGTCAGAGAGCAAAGCTCTCTTCTGTGAACAGAGGCTTTGCTCCAGTGTCTCCAGGTCCCTCAGGCCTCCTCAAGGGTGGAGGTCTAACCCCAGGGCAGAGAACCTCAGGTGGCTGCTCTGTTCCTCAAGAACACCACAGTCTAGAGACATTCTGGCTGTCACATTTGGGAAGGGGTGTCACTGTCATCTTCTGTAAAAAAGCTAGTAAACAGGGTCCTGTTCTTTGACACCCCCCAGCACACAGGACAGAGGTAAGTGTGCCGGCCTCAGGCTCCTGCACCCCGCCAGGGCTGAGGAGCACCTCACTCCAAATCCACCTTTCAGGCTGGGGTCTGTTGGTTCACAGGGTTTCCCTGAGGACTGGTGGATTGAAGACATTTGCTTTGCCTCACAGAGCCCTGAGCTTGGCACCCTCCAGAGGAACAACCTAAGGGAGAGAGGTACCCACCCAAGTGGAAGGCTGTTCTCAGCCACGACAGGCAGGGAGCTGGGGAGGAAGAGCCTCTGGGCAACTGGTCCTATGGGAAGTCCTGGGCCAGGGGACACTTGGGTAGAGAATCTCTCCACAGGGGTGGGGGGACTTTTCCTTGGAGAGGGAATAGAAAGGGATCTTTCAGGAACTGAGTGAGGTGGGAAGGAAGGCCCAAGGGGTGTGGAGGTTCACTCTGGCGTAAATAACCCTCCTGAGGGCAGCACCAAGTACAGGAGGCGGGATGTAGAGCAGGGCCACCGCCCCCCCCCCCCCCCCCGCCAATACGGGAAGACTCTTGCCGTCGATCCTGGCTCTCCATCTTCTCCAAAAAAAAAGACTGAGACAGCCCAAGCTTTACTGCCCGACCGACTGAGCAGAAATGTTGTTTAGACTCAGTGGAGACTTGCTATTCATTGAGGCGGGCCCCCCCCCCCCCCCCCCCCCGGATTTCAGCCAGTTTCTTTCCAGAGGCGCCCGACTTCCCTGCTTCTCTCTTTTGTTTTTAACACCAGAGGATAGGCTGCCAGTGTATTTTACAATTGACAAGCCTGACACAAAAACTTGTCAAGTAAAAAAAGATTCAACTCGAATTTTGTGAGGATGGAATTTGCAGTCAAGGAATAAGACCACCATGTCTTAGGGATAAACAGCACGGCCAAAAGCAACTTGTGAGCAAAGGGGCTATCTCCCTTCACAACACTCAGGTCACACTCCACCCTGAGAGAAGTTAGGGCAGGACCTTGCAGACAGGAACTGAAGCAGAAGATGCTCAACCTATTTTCTTGTACTACCCAGGACCACCTTCCCAGGGTAACCTGCCCCCAGTGAACGGTGCTTGCCTCTTCGCAACTGAGGTATCCTCTTCTGGGGTGAGTCCAGGCTTGTGTCAGGGTGACATAACCCAGTCAGCACAGGTGGCTTAGTATCCTGACTACTGGATCCCAGAATCCACCAGGAGTGAATGTCACCACCAGGGGTCAGGGCATTGCTCTGCAGACCACTCTCTGTGCATTCAGGATGGGTGTGGAGAAAAAGAGCCCAGAACTGTAAGGCTGAGCCTTAAAACCTGTGTAGTTTTCCTCTTTTGTAACTGTCTCACTAAGTAGGTCTGGCTAGCCTTGAACTCCCCATGTAGACCAGGCTTGGCCTCAAATTTGTGGCTATCCTCCTGGGAACTCAGGGTGACCTTCCTCGCCCATCCCAGCACCCCTTGTCGTTCCTCTATGGTGCAGGCAGCAACATCCTTTGGATAGGATCATGGCCGTGGCCTGATGCTGAGCACACACATACCCAGCACTGCTCTATTTTGACAGCTAAATAAGTCACAGATTGTTAGGGATTTGGGGTGGAGACATGGTTCATTGGTTAGGGGTGCTCACTGTTTCTGCTAAAGACCCAGGTTCAGTCCCCAGCACCCATATGGTGGCTCATCACCCCTAACTCCAATTCCACGGGATCTGACACTCTCTTCTGACCTTGTGGGCACCGGCATGCAAATGGTGCACATAAACTCATGCAGGCTCACACATGCATAAGTTGTAAACCTTTTTTAGAAAACGAGCTACCTTAAGCCTATGATCCCAGCGCTATGGAGATGGAGGCGGAACTACCATGAGTTCGTGGCCAGTCTGGGCCACTAAGAGAGTTTCAGGCCAACGTGGACACAGCAAAACCTGCCTCAAAAGCAAAACCAACAAAACAGAGCACCCTCTCCCTCTTAAAAAAAAAATCAAAAGATCATTAACACTTCAGCTGCTTGGATCTAAACTAAGTAGGACTGTCCCTCGAGATGCCTAGGTCTTCTCCAGACTACCTTTGGTGGGGGGTGGAGGCATGGCTGATGCAGAGGCAGAGATCTCATGGGACTGGTCCACATTTTGTCATTAACACCTTTTTTCTCCTTTCCTTTCATCCTAAGACAGGCTCTCATTCTAGCCCAGGTTAGGTGAGAACTACATAATTTAAGCTGGCCTAGAACTCACAGGGATTCTCCTGCCTCAGCCTTCCAAGTGCTGGAATGTTAAGGCGAGAACTACCATGCTCGGATCTCCTTAAAGATTGAGACATGGTCTCACTTGTAGCCCAGGCTAGCCTCCACCATTAAGTTGAACGAATCACATCTGGCTGCTCTTTCAAGATTCTTGCTATATAATGTAGAGCCTCAAGAATGGAATCTGAGGCCTCCACACAGGCACAAGCTGTCTGTCTGTCCTCCTCAAGGACTTCAGGTTCACGGAGACTGTGCAAGCTGCCCTACCAAGACCTCTTTCTATAGTAGCTGGGACACAAAACACACTTGTGCCTCAGGGTAGCTCCACCACCCACCGACCCACCCTGCCATGCAGTTTAGGAATCTGCAAACACAGGAGGGGACAAATCTTCGGTGTTATACTTCTCCTTCCATGTCCCGTTCTGAGGCTCGGTGGAATCCCACACCTGATGCAAACCAGATGAACATGACCACTGAGCCACACCCCCAGGGATGCATGTGGTGATGACCTGGTCCCCTTTACTTCTCTCCAGAAAACAGGAGTGCCAGGCAGTGAGATGGCTAGGCAGGTTAGCACACTTACTGCCAAGCCCCACGGCCTGAGCACAATCCCTGGAACCGACCTATGTATGTTATCCTCTGACCTCCACTCCTGCTTGGTGACCTATGTGCACCCCCGCCCCCCAGTAATAAATAAGTTAATGGACGAATGTGAAAAATTAGATCTACCCATAGTAAACCTAAATATGGACAAGTGTCAGAAAAATTAGTCTCCCGTTTTAAAAAGAATTATTTTGTTGTTTTGTTTTTGGGATAGGGTCTCACTATGCAGCCTTGGCTGCCCTGGAGTTCCCCAATCTTACAAAACATCAGCCCAGCTAGCAGCTTCCTGAGTCTGAGGGTGGAACGATCTCTCCCAACATAAAGTGTGATGTTCAGTGAGAGGGCCACTGCTTCCCGGGTGCAGAGCTGCACTCTCATTTGGGCTGTGGCTCTGCCAGTACCTTGTGTTGCTTTTTTATGACACCCCCCTCCTCCTGGCAGGTGTACAGTCCTGGATAATTCTCAGGGATCAAACACAGCAGCTATCTTTTCTACCAACGTGTCTGGATCAACAAGAATACAAGTCCCTAGGGATACAAAGGCAATCCAGCCTGCCAGGCAACTCTGAAAGCAGGAGCCACAGCCATTGGAATCAGAGGGAGCAGAGGTGGCTGGGCCAGCACCTGCCCAGGTTCCTTCCCGGAACAGGCCTGCATCTGGTGAGTGTGTTACTGACGGTGTAGGGAGGGGATGTGGACAGCAGGGCAAGTGGGTGTAAGTTCTGAAGGAAGCAGGGCTTTCTCAGCTGCCCGTGACTGTAAACACACGGTCAGTGATGGACGGCAGGCGGCATCACTTTCCCCTCAAAAAACAGTCCCATGGTGTCTGGCTGTAAGCCAAAGAAAACCACGGTGGCCTATTTCCACGGTGAGCAACAGGTGACATTTCAAGATGTTAAAAAGCCACCATGTATTAACCCTGACCTAGTTAAGACCAGACCTTCAGCCTGGAGGTCATGGCCGAAGCCTCAGTTTCTTATTGGTGGCAGTACTGAAGATGAATGGATAGCTGGGCTTGTTCTGAGAGGACACCCCAACAGGAACACACCTCTGCAGACACATGGCTTAGGTGTAAGCACACTGTGAACTAGACACCCATCTTATTGGACAGTTGCATAGCCTGTGCGTTCAAATCAGCCCAACTAACACAATGTGACTGGCTGTTTATAAAAACTGATGTTCAGGGTGCTATGGACACTGTCCTGAGTCCAGGACAACAAAGAAGACAGAAGAGACCCTGCCCTGCCCACAGGGACTTGAGTTACCATGTTCAGAAAGTAGCTCTGAGAGAACTCTGTCACACGGGTCTGG